TCAGGTGTCTATATAGTAACAGAACCCTTTGGCCTTCTGTCCTGTCTCTGGATCAGGTGACAGTCCACGCCTCCGGCCAGCTTGAAGTTGAGTTGACATGCAGGCAGCAGCCACTTCTGTGGCCACAGTGGCCCTCTGGGGCTGCTAAAGAGCAGGTACTTGGGCAAAGTATGTCTGAGTGGCAGGCCACCTGGAGCTCCCAGGAGAGCTGTGTCTGCTTGAATGTGGACCGGACCAGGTGGCGTCTTGGGTTCCTGTGATTTGTGGGGTTTTCCTACCTGATCTTTTCATTGACCTTCAGTGTCTGGAGGCTGATTATGATGCCTATAGGCATGAGGGGGGAAGGAGGGTGAGAATCAAGTATTAGAATAGAAACTTCTGGGGCTAGAGAGATGGCTCAGTGGTTAGGAGCACTGACTACTTTTACAGAGGGCCTGGGTTTGATTCCCAGCACCCACATGGTGGCTAACAACAATCTGTAACTCCAATTCCAGGGGATCCAACACCCTCTTCTGACCTCCACTAGCCACTGCACAACATTGGTGCACTTACATATATGCAGGCGATATACTCATACACATAAACTAAAAATAATAAATAAAAATTTAAAAAAAGAATAGAAATTTCCTCCTCGTCCTCAAGGATCTCCAACAAAGACTGCATCCACGGGCAGCTGCTTTTGAGAAGTAGTGCTGGGGGCAGTCACTGTGTTAGAAGTGACTGGGCAGAGAGGTTAAGCAAACCAAATGTGAGGAGCTAGAGGACAGCTCATGGGTCTGTCATGGTGACTACGGCAGTTTCATGGTGATCCTCGTTGGTATCTAGAGAGTTGTGTGTGGTCCAATCTTTTGCTGTAGTTTTAACCTTGGAGAAGGGGCAGCCTATGTTGTTGCAATACGGAGAACTCTGTGTGGTCTGGACCAGGGGTGAAAATGAGCTAAGTGGATGGAAGCCACCCATCTTGATCTGGTGGCCTTGTTCTGTTAGTGGATGTGATGTCATTCCTCTGTGATGACATCATTTATCTACGAAATACACTGAGCGTCCTCAGATGTTACAGGATTCCATGTCAAAGTGCTAGATTGGGGAATCTTATCCCCCGGTCAGTTACCCTTACCCAGCTCCACAATCCCAAGGCAAGGACAGATGCATGTCCCACATACAGGGTTAGCCCAGGGAACTGTTCACTGCCTACATTTATCAAGAGCATGTGTTGTTTCATGTTTTCACGGAGCAGGTTACAAGAGAACCCTCACTGGATCAGGGAGGCTTATCCTGTCCCTTGTGGAATGAAGTTACTCATGAGAAGCAGCTGAGTGACCTGAAGGGTCTGATCTCAAGTCCTGCCTGCCACATCTAGGTCAATGTGGTAATGAGTAGGTGTGTGTGTGTGTGTGTGTGTGTGTGTGTGTGTGTGTGTGATGTATGTGTGTTGCCAAGCAGGTGGCTGTGCAGGTGTGTGCCTTGGGGACATTATGTAGGGTGTATACAAGTGAATGGTGTGGCACAGCTCCTTGGGAGTGTAGAAGGTGGCATGTTCATAGCTGATGACATACGTCTTGATCCCCATCACCTCATTAGCATAGTTGATAAAGTCCTAGATGTAACTGGAATTGCTGACAGTCGAGGCCCTCCTCAGCACCAGCATGTGTGCCTTCAGTTCTGCGTAAAGTTGAAAGTGCTTCTAATGCTGGAGTTGAAGTTGTGCCAGATGTGCATCCCTGTGAGAGTCTCAAAGAATCAGAGAGCTGGTGGAGAGTGGACAGGGCTGTCAATCTCATTCTGGTGGGTGCTGCCCAGGAAGGTGGCTGTGTCTGGAGAGTCAATGATGGGCAAATTCATGATGAGACTCCCCAGACCCCAGACCATGCCATTGTACTTGGTCTGCAGGTCTGTGTTCACCATTCAGTGCCACTACTTGTATAGTGACCTCATAGGTAACACACACACTCCTAAAATGTACGTTAAAGATGGTGTTCATCACGGCAGTGGATAAATAAACTAGAACAGTTATTGAACAACAACAAAGACCTGAAGCCCAGAAAGGCAGTTCCAACCTCCCTTGAGTACACTGTTGTGATGGGGTTGGGGAATTCCCCTAGGGCTTGTAGGAGGAGGAGTGTGATGGCTGCTCTGTGCTCTTGGGTAGCAAGTCCTCAAGGAGCACTGGGTCCACTTTTCCAGCCTTATATTTCCCAACCAGTTCTTCTGGGCCATTTTAACTTGCTGTTCTACTAGACCTGCTCCACAGTATGCCTCTAGTGCTGGCTGTGTTGCTCCCATGATCCACAAGGATCTCCAGCCCAGGGGATGCAGGAAGCAGCCTTTCATGTAGCACCGAAAGATGAACCATTTGTGAACTCTGCAGACTCTGCACCATAGTGGGTTACACACTTGAATGTCAGACACAGGCCAATTCATTCCTTCATGAAGAGCCCGTGGTGTCAGGCAAAAGGTGATGCAAGGGCTTGGCGGCCTCTTCAGGGTATCGTAGACCATACTATACCTTGGACATGGGTCTGGTAGACCAAGACTTGATGATTCCTTGGCCTGTGGCGACAGGGCTACCATGTAGATATGCTATATGAGGGGCCCCACAGCAAACTCAGTGAAATTAGACTACTCCTGGGCACCAATGAGGATAACTATATGGGCTTATCACATGGGCACTGTTTCTCCTCCATTCTGAAAATTCAGCACATGCCTCTTCTAAGGTAGTGTCATCTTTATGAGGAACAGAGTTCAGTCAGTGTCTTGGATAGCTGCAACTACAGCTCCATTCTGTTCATCAGGAAGCTGTGCAGGTGTGCAAGTGCATGGCCCTCAACTCCTGGATGAAATGTCTGGGATCACCTGGATGTTACTGTTCAAGGTCAGCCTGGGGTGGTCTGCCATGGATGTTTGGAGACTCAAGATGGCTGTCACCTAACTCAGTATCAAATTACTTCTCAGCAGATCCATGGTTCTGGATGCAGTGGAGAAGAACACCTAGATGTTTCCTTCTCTGAGCCAGCACCTCAGAGTACCTTGACCCTCATCCTTCCCTTCCTCCCACTCCCAGAACTTCTTCCCTTGCCACAGCAGAGGCTGGACCTGGAGTCTTTGGGTACCTGTTCTATGATCCTGGTGACTGTCAGGGCTCCTGTGTGCTTCTGGACTTTTCCCCCTCTGTCAGTCTCTTCTAGTCTTCTTCATTTAGCTAAACTTCATTTAGCTAAAGTTTTCCTCTGTTTGGGGTATTATCTTGGGGGGGGTACTTGGGCCAGGTCCACCGTGAGTCACAGCAGCCCAGGGCTGGTCCTCAAGGGCTACAGAATGTTCCTGTCTTGGTGGGGCAGAGGCTGTACTGACAGGAAAAACTATCTTTTGCTACAACAAATTACCTTTGAGGGGGATGAATTTTGAAGAGTGCAGATTTCAAAGTTTAGGCTCTTGGGTTAAATCCTGGTAAATTACACTTAAAATTTTCCTTGGTATTAGATATGAGACTTGTCATGGTGACGGCTCTGCATAGCCTGGCAGTCACAGTGTTGGAGAGATTCTCCACTTTCTGTTTTCCTCCGCCCCAGCCCTGGGTAGCAAATTCTGCCCCCATTGCTTTACTTTTGCAGTTTGTGCTGAACAATTTACACACACCTTGGGTAATTCCTTTCCTCCCTCGCTCCCTCCGTCTCTCCCTCCCTCCCTCTTTTCTTCCCTTCCTTCCTTCCTTCCTTCCTTCCTTCCTTCCTTCCCTCCCTTCCTCCCTCCCTCCCTCCCTCTCTCTCTCTCTCTCTTTCTTTCTTTCTTTCTCTTTCTTTTTTTTCTTTCTTGTTCAGGAAATATGTGTGTGTGTGTGTGTGTGTGTGTGTGTGTGTGTGTGTGTGTCCCCTTGTGTGTGTATGGGCCTGTGTGCGAGCATTCCTGGAACTCAGAGGCCTATTTTGGGTGTGTTCCTCATTCAGGGTCTCTCACTGAACGTGGCTGGGGCTCACTGATTCTGCTAGATTGGTTGGCCAGGAAGCTGGAGAGATCTGCCTGTCTCTGCCATCTCCATTCCAGTGCTGGGATTACAGACATGCACTGCTGTGCCCATTTTTACAAGGGTGTTGGGAATCTGACCTCAGGTCTCATGTTTGTGTGGCAAGCACTTTACTGAACAAGTCCTTGTCTCAGGCCCAGCTCTGCAGTTCAGGGCTATGTTCCTAATGGAGGCGTGGTAAAGTCCATTTCCTTCTTTTCATCTTTTCAAGAGTACCTCAATATCTTCTGCCTTCCATTCATGGAAAGATGGATCTTGGTTCCTGTCTTACCTCCACACAAGACTTATCTTACCATGCCTGCTGTTCTTGGTTATTTTTCCCTCCCACACAGAAAAATACATATCCTACAGGGTTTTTCCTACAGTCCACAGTCTGACCTAGCTCATACCTTTTTCCCTCATCTGGCATCACAGGACAGCTGTGCCATAGCTTATTGAACTGTCCTTTCCTACAGCTGGAAATTCAGGTGTCTTCAGACTTCTGTTATTACAGAAAATACTGCAACGAACCAGAACACACATATTTTATGTGTTTATAGCTCTATCATGGGGGCACCGTGGACACTGGACCAGTGAACAAGTGTGAAGATGTTAGAAACTCTGTTAGGTTTCCCTGCAGCAGTGCCCTCATGCAAGGCCATCATTCAAGTGGGACACTTTCCCTGTAGACTCCCTGAGAGGGAGCTGAAAGCCTCTGACATTGAAACACCCGTCTGATATGGAAATTCAGTATCTCAGTAGGCTTCCTTTATCCTGGTCATGGAGGCCTTTTTTTGGGCGCAGTAGACAATCATGGCCGCCCATCTGTGTCTGTGGCCCGACACTTCACTTGCCACTAAGAAGACACATACAAAGGTAGGAGCTGAAAGGTTTATTGTCAGCCCTTGTGGGGCTCAGGGTTATTGGGCAGGAGCTGGAGTCTCCACACAGGATTGAAGCTGAATGGAGGAGCCTTCAGACAGGACCTGTCTTCAGGAATTCAAAGTCTTGACAGTTGTGTTCTTTGTGCATGGTGTCTCTTGATGCCATAGAAGTTGAAGGGCCAGAGCAAGAAACCCACGGGGTTCTTAGATCTGGCCTTCTTGGGGACATTCTTAGAAAGGGGGATGCGCTGGAAGCTCACTGTCACCCAGACCACCAAATCCTAAGGGAGAGACACAGGCTTCAGTGGGCAGTGCTGAGCATTAACCCCCGAGCTCACTCTGGCTTGAACCATTTTAGATTTGCCTTCAAACTTCCTGCGATGTCTTCAGTTCCATTTAAAAGAGCTATAGGCGCATCAGTCACAATCTCTCATCTTGTCTCCACCCTCCAAACAACACTCTTAGGACCAGGACCAGCTCCAGGTCAAGGCTAGTGACAAGGCCAGAGGTTGGCAGGGGACTGTGTCAGTACCTTGTCTTTAATGTTGTCATCGTCAAGGAGGAAGTTCTCAAAGACCACAGGTGGATCCCAGGGGTGGTTCTGGTTGTAGAAGCTTGTACTGTGCCGTTCAGACTCCTTGTACTTGGTTACCACCAGGGGGTACCTGCAGGCCAAGAAGAAACCAGGTTGCTCTGAGCACTGGGGCAGCCTGAGATGCCCTCTTAGGGAACTCACTCAGTGCCAAAGATGGGAACTTTCTTGTTCTCCAGAATGAGGATTATCTCCTAGGAGTTTACAAGACTCTATTACCATCCGAGGGCCTGGGGTCCCATGGGCCCACCTACTTACTCCCTGAGTGCATGCCCAGCACATACAGAGATGCACACAGAGCGTCTCTGAGCCTCAGAACTGAAGAATGGACAGACACAGGTCCTCACAGAGGAAAGCCTCAGCCCTTCCTCCTCAGGTTCTCACCTGGTGCTACTCACCTGGTCCAACTGACAGCCCACTCCTGCCATGATGGTAGTAGAGCCTGCTTAACCTTAGAGTTGATCACTAGGCGGTAGCTGCGTCTGTGACCCCAGAAGTCTTTTTTGGGGCTATCAAAGAGCAGGTAGTAGGGCAGAGGTCTTTCTAAGCAGAAGGCAGCCTGCATTTCATGGGAATGTCGTTTCTGCTTAAGTATGGTCGGGACCTGTCTTGTGCTCCCTGGATTGATGATGTTTTCCAGCATGGGCTGCAGCTGCAGTGTCTTGAAGCTGTTCTTTGTGCCTGGAGGCAAAAGAGGAGAAGGATGAGAGTCAAGCTTTGGAACAAGCCTCTCCTCCCTCTGACCTGGGATCTCCAACACAGACCACAGCTGCAGCCAGTCAGCTGCTAGGAGGAAGCAGTACTGAGGCAAAGCAGTTGGTGAGTAGTATGGTCAGGGAGGCTATGTAAACCAAATACCAAAGTTGCTCCAGGACAGCTCACGGGGCATTCACGGCAACTGGGGCAGACCTAAGCTGGTCTCTGCAGAGGGTTTGCTGTGGCTTTAACTTTGGAGACATGGCAGGCTTGAGGACTGTTAGTCTACACTGTGCTGACTGGTCAAGTGGAGCTGAGTAGGTGAAAGCTGCTCACCCGGTCCTGGTGAGCTCCTTCTGTTAATGGATCTGATACCAAGCATGAAAGCCTTTCTGTTCCTCTGTGGTAACACTGTTTTTCCATGGCGCACACTGAGCACCGCTATGTGGCACTGCAGTCCATCTCAAAGTGCTAGGCAGTGGCGTTTCATTTTTATTCCCTTGGCACCTCCTCCCCTCCATCCTATGTGCCTTTGTACTCAGCCCCAGTAAGGCGAGTTATAGACCTCACGTTTAGGGACACCCTTGGGTACCATTTACTACTATGATTTTTCAGGACGTATGATTTTTTTTTTTTTTTGGCGAGGAAGAAGGCTGAATGAATACTTTCAATTTTATGCTGTGGTGTCTCAACCTTGTTTCCTGTGGAATGAAGTTATTGGAAGCAGTTGAGTGTCTGGAAGGATCTGGTCTCATGTCTTACCTGCCACATCCAGGTCAATACGGTAGTGTGCTAGGTGGATGTGGATGTTGCCTTGTGGGGGTGCGTGCAGGTGAATCGCGTAGCGCTGTCCCTTGGAGTTGTAGAAGTGGGCATGGACAACACCTGTGGCATGCATCTTGGCTTCCAATAAGCCATCGGAATAGAAGATAAAGTCCCAGATGTAATCAAAATTGTAGACTGTTGAGATGGTCCGCAGCACCAGCATGTGTCCTTCCGAATCTGCACGTGAGTTGAAGCCACGTGTGAACTCGTTAAACCTAGGCCTAGCAGATGTCCCTGTGGGTTTCTCAAAGATGCAGAGTGCTTTTGGGTAATGTACGGGGTCATCATCATCGTAGTAGTGGATAGCATCCAGGAGAGTGGCTGTGTCTGGACAGTGGATGCCAGGGACCAATTCATGAGTGACAGGCCCTAGGCCCCAGCCCACGTCCATAAATTTGGTGTACATGCCTGCTGGTGACTTTCCTTGATACAGGGTCGCAATTGCTTGCACACTGACCTCATAGGCGACTGGTTCATACTCAAAGCGCACATTGAGGAGCTGAAGCCCAGAAGAGGGTCGCAGCAGGTAGGAGAAGCTCCAGTCTCCGTAATGCACGGTGTTGCCCTTTACAGTATATTGTGTACCTTGGGGCTGGACCACATGGGAGCGGTTCTCACCGAAGGGGACTTCCTCAGGGGTCATGTAAAAGAGTGGTGGGTCCTCGTTTCTCCTGGGCAGTGAGTACTTGAAGACCACGGTGTCTACTTCTCCCTTTTCATATTTCTTAGCCAGCTCCTCTGTGCTTTTGTAGAGTCTGCCGTTATACTTGACCTGCTCCACGGTCCAGTGCTTGGTGTGTAAACTCTCATGATTTATGAGGATCTCCAGCCCAGTGGGTTGCAGGAATTCATAGTCCACAATGAGTTGTAAGATAAACCAGGTTTGGCGATATCTGGACTCTACATCTTTGGGGGCCACATCTGTGAAGACCAGGCACTCACCATTACAGTCCTGCAGGGAATAACCTGTGATGTTAAGCGTAAACTGACGCAAAGGCTCCATGACTATCTTCAGTTTCTGGTGTAGGAGACCATACTCTACTCTGGACATGGGTCTGGATGCCCAGGAGTGATGTTTCTCTGGCCTGGAGGATAGTTTTCTCATGTAGGTGGGCTGTGGCAGGGGCCCCACTGCAAACTCGGTGATATTGGGGTGCTCCTGGGCCCCAAAGAAGATGACAACTCGGGCTTCCCGCACAGGACGTGTTTTTTCTTTATCCAGAAAGTTCAGCACATCCTTCTTCCTGGGCAGCAGCAGTTCGATGAGGAATACGGAGTTCTTGTGCAAAGTCAGTGTCTTGGATGGCTGCAGGTCCAGCTTTGTCCTGTTCATCAGAAACCTGTGCACACTCTTTAGCTCACAGGTGTTCAGGTCTGCAAACACCTGGGTCTCGCCACTCAAGGTCCATCTAGGCTGCTCTGCTAAGCATGTCTGTAACGCTAAGACGGTAGTTGCCCAGCCTAGTGCCAAGATCCTTTGCACCAGTTTCATAGCTCTGGAACTCCACAGCGGAGAGGAGAGGACTTAGGTACTTACCTCTCCACGCTACCACTTCTGAGTACCTTGTCCTTAAACTCTGTCACTTTCCTAGTGACTAAGCTTCTTTTCCTCGCTCAACTGAAGCCGGAGCTGGAGTCTCCGGTCTTCACTGCATTGCCAGGACTCTCTAGACCTCGGAGCTGCTTCTGCCTAGTTCTTACCTGACCTGAAAAACTTATATTCTTTCTTATCTAGATAAACTCTCATGTTTTCGTGTTTGCTTGGTGTCATCTTGGGGGAGGCATTCTTAGCCCAGGGCACCATTCCTCATAACAGTCCAAGGTGTAGCCTCCAAGGCTTTTGACATCTGCCTACAATGTGCTGATGTCCTGGTGGGGCAGAGGCTGTACTGACAGAAAAACTATCTTTTGATGTAACTAATTACCTTTTATGATGATGTGTTTTAAAATTCATTGTAGATATTCGATATCCAGTTTCTAGAGCTAAGCTTCCTGGGTTCAAGCCTTGGTAAATCACAATAAGAACCCCGCCCCCCCATGTGACCTTGGTGATGTCTAAACTCTCTGGGCCTCCATCGTCTTAACTATGAAATGGACACGACAGCAGCAGCGTGCACATCCTTAGGCTGCAGAGAAAACATGCTGACGGCGCATAGAAAGCACACGGAGCAGTGCTGGCCTTCCAGGAGCTCATGGCGTGTTGGATTCATGTTTTTTTAAATGAACCCAGTGATAAAGTCTGGACCCCAGGTATGAGAGATTTTGAGCACTGCAGACTTGCTTGGCTGAGTCTAGGCTGTGGAGCCAGGATGTGGAGAGTCCAGCCCTGCCTAGCATTCTCTGGTCTCCAAGTTGGGTACCAAATCAAGATCTCTTGCCTACTGTTGATACAGGACCCCTGTTGGTTCATCCCATGTAGTGATCCAGAGAGGCTCTACTTCATTTCCTTCTGAAGCAAGACACGGCCTGAGTTTTCATTACTTTACACTGTCCCCAGGTTACCAGGACTAAGGCTTAGGTGCATTTCAGTTAAAAAGTATTTGCTCATTTGAAGCCATGCTGTGTTACAGCCCATTCCTGAGCAAAGTCACAATTAACAAACTACCGGAAAAATTTTGCAGCAGTGACAAGTTGATAAAGATCTACCTAAAAATTGTACTCACAACAAACAAACAAACAACAACAAAGTGATTGCAGAACAGGAATGAGGCAAAGGGACGCAAAGGTGTTCATCAAAGACACCAGGAGGAACGTGCCACAGAACCGGAGTGCTGTGGACATTTTCTGTTTTTCTGTCTGGAAACGTGGTCTCGTCACATATCCTGTTCACAAGTGTTGGGATCATAGCCTATTTATTCACGGGAGGCTCAGTTCCCCAGGTGGATTCCTCCCTCAAGAGAAGCTTTTGCTCTTGGTTCTTTATGCCATGTTTGTATCCTGTGTCTGTGCTTGAAGTTCACTAACTCTTATCCTATCAAGGAACTTTCTGTCTTGGCTTGGTCCCAACTCTGTTCACTTTCCACTCACTGTCTCCTTAGCACTTTGGTATTTAGTCTGCATGGAAATGAGCATCTCGGTAGATCAGTGTAAGATGTATGTTGAACCTGCTCCATCCCCTGGAGATGCTGCTGGGAGCCTCTGATAATCTTTCCTTCTGTCTCCTGACCGGGAGATCATAGTCAAGGCTGGTCTGAGAAGTTTTCTCCCTTCACTCAGCCTTTTGATTATAGACTGACAGGTTTCCATGAAAACGGCTCAGCCTGGGGGCTTCCCTCTGTTGGACCTGTCTTTCCTTTCTGGAGTTGTCGGGGAAGCCTAGGGATTCACATGGACTTGTGTTTTAAGGGTCCAGTCTGACACTAGTGGATGAGACAAAGAACTCTCTCTGTACCCAGAGCCAGAAGAGAGGCCTGAGCCAGGCTCTTGCTCTAGCAGGGAATTTGTCCTATGAAGCCAATGCTATTCTGACACCAAAACCAGTCAACGACACAACCAGGAAAAACCAAACCAAACCAAACTACAGATCAATTCTTCGATGAACATATGTGCAAAAAGTCTCAACAAAAATCCCTGCAAACCAAATTCAGGTACATATTAAGAAGCTCAAACATTATGACCAAGTGGGCTTCATCCCAGAAAAGGCGAGGTTGATTCAGCATATACAGATCAATAAATGTAATACACTATGTAAATGCGTCAAAAGATAGAGACCATGTAGTCATCTTGGCTGATGCTGAAAAGGCTTTGACAAAGTTCAACATACCTGCAAGATAAAAGTTGTGGAGAGGTTAAGAATGAGTCCCTCAAAATTATTAAGGGTATATGACAACCTAGAGCAAACATTATATTAGATGAAGACACACGCCAACATTTCCTCTAAAATCAGAAATGAGACACAGACTCTCCCCTCTCTTATTTAATAGAGTGCTAAAGTCTCAGCTGTAGCTTCATATTTAAGAACTGTATCCACCTGTGCCTGACCTTCAAGGATGTGGCCCCTGCAGCACAGAGTTTGGTAAGAACATAGCTGGTTTATCTTGCAGCACTGTTTGGAAGGCCTGCACTCCACTGGGCTGGGGTCCCTGTGGAACATGTAAGTACAAAGGTCTAACAATGGACAGTAGGACAGATCAGGTGTAATATCAACTACAACAGCTCAAAGGAACTGGCTCAGAAATGCAAGAATGGAGACATGGGCACAGTGTTCTCCAAGGATCCAACACTCAAGAGCACAGAGACCCAGGGAATCTGCCCATGCCCGTCACTGTGGCTGGCCTTCATGTCACTTTCCCTGATACACCCTGGAAGACCACACTGTGCTCTGTGGAGGCTGGGGATTCTCTTTCCTGCTGCCTGAGCATGTTGAGATGGCTATAGTGCCACCTGCTGATGCTCAGTGTGATTCTAGGATAAATGATGTCATCACAGAGGAATGGCCTTGCTGACCAGAATTCATAGACAGTCCTCAGGCCTGCAGCAACATGGCTGCCCCCTTTCCAAGGTTAAAATCAGAGCGCACACGCTGGAGGACAGCTCTACAGAGAACAACAAACTGTCCCAGGTGCCATGACTGACCCATGAATTGTCTTCTAGATCTCTGGGTTTGGGTTTGCTTGGTTGCCTGCCCACACTGCCAGCCCAGTGCCTTCCCCTGGTGCTACTTCTTCCTGGCAACTGGTCATGCATGTGCTCTGTGTTGGAGACCCCAGGGCAGAAGAAGGTGGTTTCTAGTCCAACACCCTCCTTCTCTCCTCATGTCTCCAGACACCAAGAGCATCTTAAAGACCTGCAGATGAGCCTAGATAACATCACCAATATCTAGAGAATGAGAAAACCTCCTAGTCCAGCCCACACTGGTACAGACGCAGTACTCCCAGGAGCACCAGGCCACTTTCCTCTTCAGATGGACTCTGCCCAGTAACAGCTCTTTAAGAGGTCCAAAAGAGGATCTTTGAAGGCCAGAGAGATGGCTCAGTTGTTAAGAGACTGGCTGCTCTTGCAGAGGACCCAGGTTCAGTTCTCAGCACTCACATGGCAGCTAACAACCATCTGTAACTCCAGTTCAAGGGGATCCAAACTGTCTTCTAGCCCCTTCCAGGGGCATTACCCACATGGGTGCAGTTAGATACATGCAGGAGAAAACTTATTCATACAAAAAATTGCATGAATAACTAAGAACGTCTGAGACCACAGGCACAGCTACTGTCTGCAGATCTACTCCAGGACTAAGCAGGTGTTCACCCCTTCTGACAGAGGAGCAGATTGTTATGTGGGTCAGGAGAGGAGACACAGAGAATCTAGGTTGGAGGGTCAAGGGTTCCCCTCAGTGAATGCACGTATTGTCTGTACTTCTGTTCACAAGTTTCTGTGTCTGTGAGTGCCTCTCCTATAGGATTTGGGGGACTGGGTGATAGTGAGCTTCCTGCTTCCTGCACATTCCCTCCTCTGAGGATGTCCCCAATGTGGCCATACTGGGAATTCCATGGACTTCTTGCTGTGGCCCTTCAACTTCTTCCCAGAGGACATGTCTATGACTTCCAGAAACAACATGATCCTGTGACCCTTATTTAATACCCGCAACTGTATCAGGCACAGGATCTCTGAAGACAGAAACTGCCAGATGACTCTTCCTATACCAATCTGACCTGCAATCCTGCATGAAGACTCTAGCCCTAGCTCCTGCCTAATAACCCAGAGCCCCATAAGGGCCGACACTAAACCCTTCAGCTTACACTACTGTATGCTGATTACTAGACCTGTGGAGGTTTGGAGACACACATGCAGATTGGGTGGTCATGGATTCCACACATGTAGATGGGTGGTCATGGACTCCACACATGCAGATGGTTGGTCATAGACTGCATTCATGTTTTTTACTCTCCATCCAGGGCAGAGGATGGTGATCAACATAATGGATTTCTCTCTCTGATAGGTTTTTCAATATTTGAGGTTTTTAGATTCTCAGGGTGGTGACATTGTGCTCTCCTCATGCTGACAACTTTATGTCAGGAGAGAGTGCTCTAAACCTGTCTTCTCCATCCCTGCCCTTCAGGACAAAGCAGAAGGGCATCTGGGGATGAGAGATTGTAACATAGGAAGCCAGTCATGAAGGGATGAAAGCACTTGAAATGCAGGCTGCCTGCTGTAGTCTTCCTGTCCTGACTCCTCAACCTGACCCAGTGTAGAATCACCTGGGAAGAGAGTCTCGTTGGAGGAATTGTGCAGATCAACTTGACCTGTGAGTGTGTCTATGAGGGACGGTCTTCACTGAGGCGGCATGGAAGTGTGTCTATGAGGGATGGTCTTCACTGAGGCGGCATGGAAGTGTGTCTATGAGGGACGGTCTTCACTGAGGCGGCATGGAAGTGTGTCTATGAGGGACTGTCTTCACTGAGGCGGCATGGAAGTGTGTCTTTGAGGGACTGTCTTCACTGAGGCGGCATGGAAGAGCTACGTGGATGTGGTGGCACCATTTCGTGGGATGGGCTCATT